TTTTTTTTTTTTTTTTTTTTTTTTTTTTTTTTTTTTTTTTTTTTTTTTTTTCGCAGCCTGCACTTATTTTCGGAGCACGACGTATAGCGCGACGCGGCCACGATAAATCGTACACACGTATGGCACATCTCTAGCACGCGCGGCTCCTCTCCTCGAGCTTTCAACTAGCAACTTGCGTGCGAACGACACTTGCGTCTCTCCGTGTTTTTTAAATATATTTATCATTAGGATATCGATTATTCGCGCTTAAGACATCAGAGAATCCAATGATTCTATGCGATAGGTCCAACTGTGCATATACGAGTAGCAGAGACCGTTGAATTAAGAAAACGTCAATGTTAGACACGTTCTGCGCAGCGCATGTACAAAAATGATATTTTAACTGATAATTTTAACTTCATAATTTTTTAGTATAATACCAAAACATCAGCTTTTCGCCGTGTCACATATGGCACCATCTCACATTGTCGCAGGATCAACGAAAATATGGCGTGTTAACTAATAACATGCCGTCTGTGTGCAGTTAAAAGTTAAAAAGCTTGAAAATAGAACCTAGCTGTTAACTAATTTTTAGTAACATACTTGTATACATTAATACTAAGCAAATCCTTCTCTCATAGTATGGGTGTTCATGTATGGACACGTGTTCAGGTGAAAGTGCCTCCAAATAGTTTTTCGGAAATCTCATATTATACATTACCATATGTAGTCACTTTCTCGCACGTATGTGTTGGCGGATGAGTGCCTGCGTATACAAGCCCACGACGCGTGTAAGTATAACTCCCGATGAAAATAATCGCGTTGCAAACGAGACAACTCGAGAAAGAGAGGAAAAAGTCGAGCGGTCGGAAACTTTTTCCCCAGCTATGAGCCGGTATTATAAATATACACACGTGTAAGTATAAGTCAAAAAGCGAGTGTTATTGCTCCCGTTCGATTTGATTTCAACTGTATGTATATATATATATGGTAGAAGGGCGGGGGAATTAACATTACTCCCCACTTCTCTTTACAGTTTAAAGTTTTGTGTAATTTACAGAATGACACGAATTAAATGTCAAAATTACGGTAATTTTATATATTTTCTTGGTTAAAATAATATTAACAAATGCACAATATTAAATTTGTGTATTTTCTCACCAGAAATGTGTATATTTTTATAAACTTGACAGATCAAGTGCGCTTCGTGTACACTTTACAATTTCTAATTGTACATATTTCATTAGTAAAAAATAAAAAGTTATGAATATTATCACTTTTAGATGTTTATTTAATAATAATCTATGCGTTACATTCAAAGCCCGACATCGGCATATGTCTATAATTTTGGGCCTCATACAACATAACATACAGAAAAAGCCTGCTATATTCATGGGCGAAAAATATTAAAAATGCTGATTGTTTTTTTTTAGTGTGCCACTGAGTCAGGTTGTAACAATTACACCAAGGAAATATATTTGTGTTTCAAGTGAAGCAACGTGCAAAGTTAATTGTGTAACAAACTGGAAGATACAATAATGAGAAAAAACATTTTGCTGGACTTATCGTAGCTAATCTAAAGCACGAGAGAAGTGCATATTGTATTATCACATCTTTGATGCAAGTTCATTTATCTAGGTATAATTCATATAATCTTCAAACAAGATCTGATTGCCTTTGCTCACTTATAAATTTATTTATAAAACACTTTGAGCTGATCAGTTGAAGTTCAGGAAGGCGACAGGTACGGATTTATCGTAAAAGTAGAGAAGATAATAACAGCGTGTTACCAAAACATTTTACACACAATGCCGTTCCTGCCAACAATTCCAATAATTTTAGTTTTACTACGATAGAAATAATAAATTATGAGAAGATTTGAATTGGAAGTAAGGATATATACTTAAGGAAAGTAGCCTGGAGATGTATTTTAGATCGTAAGCCTTACTGCGAGCTACGTTTTTTTGCCTCGCGTGCACAATTTTACGCCCTTAACGGAGAACTTGGCTCTTTTTATTCATTTTGAGTTTTTTTAAAAAAAACAAGACATTTGCGACTTGAGAACCAAACCAACGTATTACAATCGCTCCGTCCAGGTTCTCAAGTTATACTTTGCGATGTATAACGGATCAGTAGTTTTTCACCGATGCCTCATGACCAACAGCCCAACTCCGTAGGTCCTTCGTGTTGCACTGATCAAATCCACCATAGGTTCAAATACCGGTTTTTCTGTGGAGGGCGCAACGAACAGTCAAAAATTTCCTTAGTAGGTAGAAGAACTACTATTTTTTATTTTTGCTTACAGGACACAAAGGTATTAAAGGGCGTTAATTCTGCCCACGTACGTAAAGCAGCATCGTCAGCCCTTTTGGTACAAAAAAAGTGATGTTTGCTAATCAGGTATAAATACACTATTGCGTCTTTTGGACGAAAACTACGAATAATGATGTTCAGTCTTGAAATACTTTTAATGAATTAGTTTGAAAATAAATAAATAAAATGCAGTTATAGACCGCAATTTGTTTTAACGGCACATATTTGATTACACGCTACAACAACGTGAGACTAGTATACGAGCAAGCTGTTTGAAATATCTGCATCAAGTATTTAC